GTTCTTAGATTTACGCTCTCCTGAGGCTAATTTTTTAAAACCAATATGTTTTTGGAGAAGTGGGGGTCGAGATCTACTAAAAAAATCAAAACTTTTTTAGATTGCCGCCGATGACCGGCAGCCGGCGCCGATCCAAGGCGGTCGGTGAGGCGGTGCCATCGTATTTCTGGGTTTGGGGGCGACTGTGTTCTTCATTATGAAGAACACAGATGAACAAAACAGAGAAAATGAGGGATGGGTTTTGATCCATTTAGATGAAGAGAAGGGAAACGAAAGCTTTTTAAAAAAATTTTGAGTTAAATAATACCCATACACGTCAGAATCCGTGTGTTTTTGCCTTAAATTAGGGTAAACCCGCTTTTGGTCCCTCCTATTTTAAAAGTCTGTTATTTTGATCCCCAAATCCGGTTCTCAAACTCCAATGTTATTCTAATTCGACCACTCAATTCGTTTTACTTTCAATTTGGTCCCTGTTAAATTCAATTCGTATTTTTTAAATTTTTTATATATTACGTTATTATATATATTATATTATTGTTATTATTATTATTATATGTATATATATGTATATATTACTTATTTCTTTTATACTCTTTTACCATTTTTATTTTTATTATTATTATTCTTTATATTATCCTTATTATTTCTATTGTTACTATTTTTTTATTTATTCATGTAATTATATATATATATATATATATACGTATTTTCTATATATTTCATCTATATACTTAGTGTTAATACATATATATTATTTTAATTAACTTTTTGGTCATTTCTTTATCTAGCTACTACATCTTATAATTTTATACGTTATATGTATTTTTTTATTTATTATTTACCAACCTTACTCATTTATCTTATAATTATATTTCTATTAACATTTTATTTTTTTTATGTATTTATATACATATATATATATTCATTTTACCTATTATTGATATTTTCCTTTTAATACTTTAATATATATATATTTCTCGTTTCATTAATTATTTATTCCATTTTTTTATTTATTTCCCCCTTTTACTTTTTACTATTATTATTATTTGTTTATTTATGCTATTATATTATATTCTTTATTATTATATACGTATATGTATTACTCATTTTTTTTTACTTTTTATTTTTATATATCTTTTATGTATTTTTTATATTCTACATATATATATATATTTTATTTATTATTTTCATCATTATTATTTCATTACTATTTCTACTATTATAACTGTTATTTTTATTATATGTATATTACGCATATTTTTTCTTTTTTTTTCATTTTCATTGTTTTATATTTTATTTTATTATGTGTATTTTTTTTATATTTTATTATATTTTCTTCTTTTTCTTTATTTGTATTTTCGTTTTTTTCTTTTGCATATCTTATTTTGTATTTAGTCATATTTCATTCTTTCCTTTTTTTTTGTATACATTGTTTTTTTTATATTATTTCGTTTGTTCGCCTTATTTTTCTATTTTATTACTTTCATTACCTAACCCTTTCCTCGGCTTTTTGAGAGAACTTCAAACAATCAGTGGTAAGCAATTTGGATCAATATTTTACTTTTTAATTTAACTTTCAATTTTCTTAATTAAAGACAACTGGAAATTATGTAGTACCGAAAGGGCAGTCCAAGGGTGCTAACCCTTCCTTAACTGTAACCGACTCCCGAATCCGACACATCTTTGGTAAGACGCAGATCAGGTAAGAAATAAGGTATCCGATCTACCTATTTATTTTTAAATAAATGATCGGTGGCGACTCCAATCCACATTTACCTAAGTCGAAGCCCAATCCCGGGGCCCGAACCGAAAGACGGTTACGACAATTACAACAAGTAATTTCAAATTAGGATAATGTTCGAAAGAATCGAACATGCTCAGAGAAACTTCCAACTTCTACGTCGGAAGAAGTCTCCAAACAAGGGCATTGATGTTCTTGTTACATCCATCCGTGCTCTGCTTAAGAACCGTAGAATTCAAGTTGGGTAATATTTTCGGATCCTAAAAGGTTATAGCTGGTTTTTGAATGAGTCCAAACAACAAGCACCAGAGGGAGAGAAAATGGTTGATTTTGGAGCACTAGATTCTTAAATTGTCCCATCAAACACAAGGGGGCCGGTGATTTCTTGAAGCATCATTGTCCCATTGAAATCTCCAACTCAGATCACCGAATGATAAATTCTTTATCTAAAATTATAATATAATTTAGCTTTATAAGTTTAGAAAGAGTTATAATAATAATTCTTTATCTATATATATATATATATATATATATATATATTAATTATGTTCATATTTGATCTAATGAAAATAAAATTATATATATTTATATTGTGTAGAATGCATATTTTTTTCCTTAGAAATAGATCGATTTATATATATATATATATATATATATGTTTTTTTTAAGTATTACTAAATTATAAGATCAAAATGAAACTCCAAAAGTAGGTTAAAGACACCTAGATGTCTAATCAAACATGATTGACATAACTAAGATTTAGGTTTGTTTAAATTAAAAAAAGTAAATAAAAGGAACCCTACTTTTAGACCCAAAAGCCAAAGACAAGGCCAAAACCAAAGTATGCTGTATTATTTGACCTTTATCTAACCATTCAAGTCATAGCCACGACTAGGAACCAGTAAAACCTTAATCAACACCCTAATCATCTTGACCTGACATAAACTAAGATTATTTTGACTCAAAACTATAAACTTACTGATTACTTCATTCTTGGAAACGACGATCTCTTAAAATCTATAAAATTTATTTACTCTATATATATAATTCTAAACTTAAATTTTAGATTCTATATTTATATATATGTAATATTGATCGTAGTGGTCCTAAAGAACACAAACAATTATACAACGGTTTCGCTCTTTAAGTATTTTCGGGGACCCAACACATTGAAACGCAGAGATAATACTGTTTTATTACCCCTCTTTTTTGTCTATTTTCTTTTTCTTTGACGTATAATGCCTACTAATTTACGAAATTTCGATATTTTTTAGTCTGCTAGTGTAATACATCTGATAATAATTTTATATGTATTAATTTTTCAATTCTTTTCTTTATTGTACCCATATTTTATGTGATAAATATATAATGAAGTAGACGAGTGGTAATGATCTTTTAAGTGTAAACTTAGGGTTCATCACAGCTTATGTACATCTAATATACAATGTTTTATAATAAATGAAGGATGATTGGGAGGTTGGTATATTTTATTTTTAAATAAATTATAAATCGGTGGGAATGTGAGGTGAGTGGGGAGGATGTTTGTAATTATATAATATATAACCAAAATAATGGATTTTGGATTTTTTTTATAAATAAAACAAATAAATTTAGTGTAAATATATATAATTAGTCCCCAAACTTTTAGGATACTTGGAATTTTGGTCACCCAACTTTTGAAACTTACAATACAGTCATCGAACTTTTAATTCGTTTTCATTTTTGTTCCTGTCGTTATCTCCGTTAGATTTTCGATGACTTGGCAGGTAATGCCCGTTAACCCCCTCCTCCTTCTTCTACCTTTGAAAACCCTAACCTCCAAAAAAATCCAAAAACCAAAAAATCATAACCCCATTGAAAATCATAAACTCCATGGAAGCATTGACAACGCTTGGATGTTGTGAAAGTTTATCCATGGAGAGGTTGGAAATGCTTGGGGATTTGGGGATTGGCATGGTGGGTAGGGGATATGTTAACGGGCGTTACCTACCACATCAAAGAAAATCTAATAGAGGTAACATAAATGAAAACGAGCTAAAAGTTCGATAATTATTGAAAGTTTCAAAAATTAGGTGACCAAAATACAATCTCTCTAAAAGTTCAGTGACTATTTATACACTTTATCAATAAATTTATTATGTTAGGCCAATGACATCGAAAGAAACGTAGCTGTATCTAATGGTTCGTACACTGCCAAAACAAATTATCTTATAGCTGATTATTTTCCCCCCTAAAAGTAACTAAATAGACTGTTACTTTTTAACCTCGCGCGTGAAATACGGTCATTAAATGACTTTGCCATAATTATAGTTTAATAATACTATATTTTTTTATTTTGCTCGTTAACACTAAAACCATCCCAAAATCACTTTGAAATGTTAAAAAAAATACCCAACAGAATATTATTTTATTAAAACCGTCAATAATTAATAATATTTTTTAAAAAATCATCATAATTATTATTTAAAACAACTTGTTTTTGTAATTAATCTCTCGAGATCCTCGTTTCCTATTGTTTTTCTAAATCTGCCGAAATATCTAAAATATTTTATTTTTGTTGTCCATAGCAATTAGCAACCAATGGGGCCGTGACGAGGTTGAAACCACTTCCTCCGAAAAATGCGGCAGCTTGCCGCGTCTTTTCTTTGCTCTCCCATCACCGTCTTTTGGGTAAACCCAAACCCGTACCCGAAAGCAACATCCCTTTTTTACCCTCCTTAGGCTCTCTTCTTTTCCATTTTGAACCCTCTTCCCATAGAAACAAAAGTGATAACAATAATATTAGTAAAATAAATATGAAAAATTTTAAAGATATTTTCAGTTTGAAATGACATCTATCAATAAAGGTAGAAGAAAAAAAGTTATCAGTCTAATCATTTTTTTGAAATAATAACGGTTTGAGTAAAAAGGTTAATTCAATTAAAATAGGATAAGGGCTTAAATGATAAAAGTATAAGTATGAAGGAGTGAATCCATTATTATATCAATTATAGAGTTAAGTCAATTCTTTATTATTATAAATTTCCAATGTTAAATAGATAAACAGAAGGCATTAAACTGTAAATTCCTCCGCCCACGACCTCATTACTTTATTGTTTTCTTACCGTTGTATTAATTATCAGTATCATTTTGCAGTTTAAAACTGATTTTCTTTTTGTTCTTTCGACATCTTCTTCAACTTGTTCTGGCTTGCGTACAGAGAAAAAACAGTTTCTAATGAAAAGTCAGCGTCTCTCTCTCTCTCTCGTTATTCCAAAAAGAAACACCCTCTTGTCTTGTTTCTTGTAATAACCAAAATCCATCTCCGTTCTTACATCAAGAACAAAAATTACTGACAGAAATCTGCATGTTTTATACGTATGATAGCTTACTCGGTGCAAATTTGAGCCCAGATGGGAACTAGAGAGAAGCAAAAAAATGGTGGAATCGATTGTTAATGTTTTGTGTTCGTATTAGCATGAGCGGTTTTTTTGATCTAGAAATGGAGAATTATCAGGGTGATTTAAACGACATAGTTCCAGCTTCTGCTGTTCAACAATCAGACATGGTTCCATGGCACCAACAAGTCATCTCCGATCTTCTGAGTTTTTCGCCGTCGGCTGCAGCCATGGAAGATCATAGAGTAAACGCCTTCGGCGACCCTTTCTCCACCATGAGAGATCCGCTTCTTCTTCACGAGCTTAACGGTTCGAGTGCTGGCTACTTTTGCAGCCCTAATTCAACCAAAGATCATCGTATGCTCAATATCGAGGATTCATCAAGCTTCTTTGCTGGTGGTCTTGACGATATGATTAGTCCTTGTAATATCTTTTCACGGATTCAGATCTCTCATGGCCATAGCTCCAGTCCACGACCCGTGCCGCCGCCGCCGCTGCCGTGTGATCCACCGGTGATAGCTTCTTTCAGTGTTTCCCCGAGGGGACATATGGCGCCTGCTGTGCTTCCAAGCGACATGCTTAGTGTAAACACCTCAAAAAGTTGCTTGATTGATAACACCACTGCATCAGTCCCAGTGCAGATCTCATCTCCGCGGAATCTGGGTATCAAAAGAAGGTTAGAGTAATATTTAATTCTCTAATTAAACTGAAATCCGAAGATCTGATATCAAATTTTTGTCACTTACTCCACTTTTCTTCTTTCATAAACTGATATGGAGTCATAAATTAGGGTTTATATATAGTTACTAATGAGTAATTAACATTATATACATGATAAATCATCATATATATAGCTGATTGGCTTTGAATAAAGCCAGAAATCTTGTCTAAGGACTGATAACCCTACCTTAAACTGTACAAATCGAACAAACAAACAAAAATCTTGTCTAGGGAGGAGATAGTTAACTGGGGATTCACTATAGTTCAAGTGCTCGAGAGTTGGAACCGTGATGTTTTACTTGTGTTTGTTTACATTTTACATTTTTTTGGGCCAACATGATTATATATTATGCAGAAAGAGCCAGGCCAAGAAGGTGGTTTGCATACCAGCACCAGCAGCTGCAAACAGCAGGTCTAGTGGAGAAGTAGTTCCCTCTGATCTGTGGGCATGGAGAAAATACGGCCAGAAACCTATCAAAGGTTCGCCTTATCCAAGGTAAATTTATAAATTTATGTATCAGACACAAATATTTTAAGTAAAATGAAGAGTTGGAACTAAAACACTAGTTTGTTTCATGCTATCATTATGTATATTAGAGAAAGATGGAACCAGAAACTAGTATTTATGAGAACCTATCTTTGACGTGACATGCATTTTTCGTGTTTTGTTATAGTGTTCCTTAATAACACACATTGGAAGATCACGCTTAGACTAGGGTGGTCATGTCTCCATTTTAAAATTTATTTTTTTCGTTTAGTTATTGTTTTATTAATTATATTCATCTTAATATTTTATTTGTGTATATTTTATGCAAAATTTTTATGTTATTATTGCATGTGTGATAATTCTAAAAAAATTTATGATCAGCCACACGGCCAACACGACATGTTCTCAGTCATCGCCAAATCAAACTATAGAATTACAATCGGCTTACACTAAATGCAATTGATTCTTGTACTTCAGGGGCTACTATAGATGTAGCAGTTCCAAAGGCTGCTCGGCGAGGAAACAAGTGGAGCGAAGCCGAACAGATCCGAACATGCTCGTTATCACGTACACATCTGAGCACAACCATCCATGGCCAACCCAAAGAAACGCCCTTGCCGGTTCAACAAGGTCTCAGCCATCAAAAGCCAATGCTAGTAGCAGTACTGGTTCCAAGATAGGGTCACCGAGTAATTCTCAGCCCCAAAAGACAATCAAAGAGACCAACAACAACAACAATGACAGTACAAACACATCAGTTAAAGAAGAACTGGAGATTGAAGACATTGAGAAACACATAGAAGACAACCAAACATACATACCAGCATTGCCGGAATCACAGCAGCAAACTGATCAGGATTTCTTTGCAGATTTGGACGAACTGGAACTCGAGACAGACCCTTTGAACCTATTGTTCAAAGATGATCAACGGCAAAACGAGAACAAACCCATTGATCCTTTTGCTCTATTTGATTACAACAACAGTTCTCCGTTCTGAGTGAAGCCAAAAAGAGAAGGTTTTGAAAGTTGCATTCGGTGGTGGGGAAGATTTATCTATGGTATGTTGTTATTTACCAGAATTTACAGTGTCAGAAAGATTAAAGGGGGGGGGGGGTTTGCTATTGTTGCTGCTGAACTGGGAGCAAACTCAGTGAGTCCCTGCATAATTTTTATTTTTCGTTTTGGGAATATTGGTGTGGATGATGGGACACAAAGCCTGAGGAACAGAAGATTTCAACAGTGGAAACAAGTACGTCCCATAAGACGTGACTCGATGATAACTCAGTGAGAGAAGGGGGATGGGACTTGCCCTTGCCGGCCTTTCTTTTACCGTTTTCCTTTTTCGTTGTCAAGTGGAACAAATTATTTAACCCCTCACCTTTCTCTTGTCCTCCACATGGGTGATCACTGTTGTTATAATCCCAGAAAAAAAATTACAAATTGCTTTGATGTGAAGAAATAAAGAGCAAAATATTAGAAGGGAAAAAACAAAAAAGAAAAGCTTGACTTTTCTTTTCAATCTTTCTTCTTCTAGGGATGTGTAGAGGAAAGAGATGTATAATAGTAATTTGAAGGTTTTATATTTCTTTCATCTTTTTAATTCCTTTTATTTCTTTTTCAAGAAAACTAAATTCCATTGTATAATAGTAATTTTAATTTTAAGTCAAAATGGGTATTGATTAAGTGTAAACTTGGTTAAGTGATACTTTAATTGGTATACGAGTACGCAGATAACAGATTCGAGTATTGGTATATTAATTTATTTTCTTGTGAAAGACATGACATGAGAGACTTCATCCTTCCCTTGGTAAGAAAAGAGCCTTTTAGCCAATTAATTAATATAAAGTATTGTGAAATAGTGGTTTTAAGTTCTATCAAATCCATCGATTTAGCGAAAATTATGATATCTTTTCAATGGAGGAAAAGAGCTTTCTCTTATACCAACGAGAATGGAATGTTGAGATGGATTTGACGTTTACGTTTTTTTATCACATTTATTCTATGTTTTATGCTCGTTTTAAATTAGGTAAAATATGTGAATAGTCTCTTTCATTTTCGATGCGATTGATTTTAGTCATTAATTTAAAAATTAAAGATAAATAACTGTATATGTTATTTGTTTACTATATAATGATTCCTGACGTTGTCGATTTATTATAAAATGGTCCCTCAGACGTTAAGATCTGTTAACCTATATAACAGATGTGTGACATGGAAATTAAAATTTTAAAAATCACTTCATTAAGACAGATGTAAGCCACGTCAGATAGGAATTTGTACGTGATTAAATTTCTAAATGTTTCTCTTAATCTGTCAGATTAAGTGAATTAAAATCATTTCAATTAAATGAACTAAAAGCATTTTATCAACTTTGGAAAAGGAAAACCAAGGGTTTCGTTTAAGCAAAACCACAAAAAATCAAAAGCTCCGGATGGAAATAAATATCAGATTGTAGTTGGTCCAAACAATCAACATGTTGTAGACCTTGTGGAGAATTCATGTACATGCAGAAAATGGAACCTCACGGTCATCCCATGTCCACATGCAACATCAGTCTTTCGGTTAAATAATCGAAGTCCAGAAATTTATGTCAATCAATGTTATAGTAAAAGCACCCAACTTGCTATTTATTCCAACATGTTGAACCCAATCAAGGATAATACCATAATTTATTATTTAGGGAAAAGGGTAATACTAAAAACCCTTTCATTAACCCAACGACTTTTATTGATAATTTACTTTTACTTTTATGTAGGTCCCAACCAATGGACTCTAATAACTGACATGAAACCGATTTTACCATCATCTTTAAGGAGGCTAATGGGAAGAACTTCCAAAAAGAGGAAAAAAGAAGCAACTGAAGTAAACAAACAAAAGTTGAGCAAAAGAGGACATGAAGCCAACTGCACGAAATATGGTAAACAAGGTCAATCCAACGACCTTGACGACCTCAGCAGTGGCGGATCTAGAAATTGAAAAATAAGGATTCAAAATTTTAATACTTGATTCTAAAAAAAATTGGGTGTGCACATTTTTTTTATTTTTTCCTATTCCCATTAGTAAACTAAACTAAATTTAACATTTTTCTCAAAATAATGGATGCGCAATGGCTCTACTATGGAGCCATGTTCATCCGCCCCCGGACCTCAGCAACCACACCAACCACATTGATGTCATCAATATCGAAGGGAGAGAATGTAAATAAGAAGGCAATAACCTCTTCCTCCACCAAGAATTGTTAGTCAGATACCAAATGTGGTTTCTAGTCAACAGTCCACCATGTCTAACCCTCCAACGCAAGGATCAACAACCACACCCAACCGATCATGCTTATGAATGAACTTACTTTAGTTTGGGCAAACTATTTTGTATTTATTAAGTTAGGACAAATCGTTTTGTGAATGAACTTTATTTTGTAGCTAATTTAGCAGGTGTATCAGCTCCCAAACTAGATATATTTTGTAGCTAATTTATTAGGTTTATCATCTTACTTATATATGTAACATATTTGCCTCAATATGAATATTTGCCTTTAATCTTTCTCTTTTCATTTTCACGACATTGCTATCATGAACAATAATTTAAGCTTCAAAGTTAATCGTTTTAAATTGGTAATACAATGATTACATTACTAATACAACAATTACACAAAATTAATATCCACCAGCATTCATACACAACCATTTCACCAATTACACAAAATCATTTCACTGATTCCTTCCCACTATCACCCATACACAACTCATTTCACTGATTCCTTCCCACCGTTACGTATACACAAAATCACCTTCACCAACTACTTTCCACCATCAACTAACTTACTTTATAATATCATCATACACAAAATCAACAAAATAATCAACAAATTCTCTCTTTCTATTTTGTCGTTTCCATGTTATTAACTTTTCTTAATAGCCCAACAATGACCACTCTTGCACGAGCTGTCACGGGAGCATCGTACCAAGCAAAGAATCGACAATGGGTGTATCCTTTGCCATAATTTCTACAACCAAAGAATCTCCTACTTGGGTTATCTTCTGTCTAAGAAGTAACAATCTTAGTGATTGTCCACATCAAAAAATAGGTGCGCCAGTGCCTTCCATTCTTCTTTTGCCTCTTCTCCCACGTTTTTTCTTTATGTTCTAGAAAAAAGGTGTTAAGGTTTTTAGTTTCTAATCCCTAATTTATCTTTGTAATATGTATGAGATTTGTTTATTATTTTTAAATCTAACAAATGATGCGTTCCATGTCACTTACAGTTGGAACTTATGGGATTTGTTATTATTTTTAACTTATCATATCACATACTTATTAAGGGATTAACGACAGTTAACGACGGAGGACTTAAACTGAATGAACCGATAACATAAGGGACTACTTATCTTTAATTTTTAAAGTGGTGACCAAAGTCGGTCATACCGAAAACAAAGGGGACTATTCGCATAGTTTACGCTTTTCAAATTAATATTAATTGAATTGAGTTTGATTAATTTTATTTTTGGTGCATTATATAAAAGGTAATAGGATCGAAGATTTTTAAATATTTTATATCTCAAGAACACTTATAAATAAAATTGTTTGAATTTGAATTTCGAATCTCTTAAAAAAATTCTTTTACAATTAACACTGATATTTAAGTTAAACTTTTTTTCAAAATTTTAATTGTATAGGAAAAAGATTAAATTTTTACCTTGTCTATAATTAAAACTCTTTTAACCCTTCTCATTTATCAGAACTCAAACCTAAAATTTTCCACAGAAAATAAATTCCTTACCACCCGAGCTATTTGATGAGATGATAAAAGTCATAATATATTGATTACAAGAGAACAAAGCAAATGGGGCATTTGGCCATTGGGGGGGTTTAACGTTTATGGTTGATACTATTACTCATGATTTTGAAAAGAAAGCATTTATTATTGGAAGATTGTTGGTGACATGCATTCACACCCACTTGCCCATCTCCTTGTATTAGTTACATCTTGTATTAAATTTTATTTTTTTAAACTCTAATCGACGTTATTCTAATTCAATTTTCTTTAAGAGATCTAATGACTTATCTCATTAAATCAATTAATAATTAATTAAGAATATGCTTACTACAATCATAGATAAATATTATCATTTTGTTGATTACTGAACTAATAAAAATAGATTTTTCTTTATTTGACAGTTGGCGTAGTGGGGAATCTGGAAATTTGAATTGAGAACACTTAAGAGTGTAGCAATAACCGAGCCAACAGAAAACTATAATAATGTAGAAGGTGTGGGTTGGTCCCCTCATAGATAAATGGTGAAGTTACCTTTTATCCCCTCTTGAATATTAAATTTTCGATTTAATCCCTTTTCAGTCTTTAGATAAATGAAAAATTATAATTTTAATCCATTTTAGAATAAAGTAGTTAAATTTAAGTCATTTTGACGTGAACTTTCTACTTTAATTTTTTCTTCTTCTAATTTTATCTCGACTTTGCAACACAAAATTCCTTACAAAATTTTAGTATCTTTGATGCACGTCGTGTCTCGGTGAATAAGTAACTATGAGATCTAAGAATTAAATTAATTATTACCAAATGTTAATATCATGATCGATCATGACCTCAACTTTGTGCATAAAATATGATTGGGAAGGGACAAAATAACACATTCTCTTATCTTATGGTCCCATCAACAACTTTTTAATTACTCTTTTCTTAAATATAATAGTAAGCTTTAGAGATTAATCAAGAAAGCCCAAAGAACTGGAATTTTATGATAACATTTGAAAGTATGGTTGGTTGTCCCTTTTTTCCCTATGTATGGGGTAAGGAGGAGATAAGATAGTAGTCTGCACCCCCAACATCAGGTTGAGAGGAGCTTCCGTAGGAGACCTCCTAATTATGAAATGTCCTCCGTGGGACTCGATCCCACGACCTCAAGATTAAGAACCCTTGTGCTCTACCAAATGAGCTGGATGGTCATTGGAAGGTATGATTGATGCTTAATTTAGGGTTGGTCCATTCTTTTTTTTTGTTGAAATTTAGACATCTATCATTGTCAATGTGTAGTGGGACCAATTGGCCTTTGGTCGGTCCTATGATATTTGTATGTGTTGCCCACGAATGACCATTTGGACAAAGACATATTAAGTTTTAATAGACCTGACATTAATTTAAAAAGATTAACATTTATCTTTTAAATATTTTGAAAGTTTGGAAATTTTTATAATATAAGAAAAAATAATTAAGTTTCGTCCAAAATATTTTAAAAAATCATCATTAAATCTTATTTATTTTTTGAAAATTTTAATTTAGGCTTCTATTTCTTTTAAAAAATAAGTAACCTCATAAATTTTGTTCTCAAGATGTGTCACAGTGTTCGATTGGGTAATTTGTTCTTTACTACTAGTGTACCAAATATTAGTATGCATA